TGTAACCAGAAAACATTTGGCACTTTCCCTGAAAGCACCTGCCCTGCCCCTTGCAGGTGGCTGCCTCCCCCAAACAGAGACCCCCCTTCACAACACAGCTTTAACCCCTTTGAAACCATGGGGTGGCTGCTGCAGAGCACCACCTGGGTGGCTTCCCTGCTAGCCCAGGTCCTTGGCACACTCAGAGATGGCAATAAATGGGAGAAGAGGAAAAACAGCCCCCGGCTGGCACTGTGGCCATCCAATGCCAGGGAAGTGCAAAGGCATGTGGTGGAGTGAATTTAACCCTGAACTTGCTGGACTGTTTGCAGCCCCGGAAGGGCCCAGTACAGCACTCTGATCTGCTCCTGGGATTGCTCCTTGTGATCTCACTTGTTTGGGCGCTGGGGCCCTGCAGTAAGCAGCTCCCATCACTCAGGAGTGGGGCCCGGCTTAGGGCAGGAGCTCCCTGGCAAAGATCACAGCCTCCCTTCGCAGCGCAGGGAGACATCTGCTCCCCCCAGCCCAAGCGAGAGCGAGCGGAGCTTTCCCTGCATCAGGCTGGTGCGTAAGGTGCAGGCTGGGATGGGGAGTGCCTACTTGCTCTCTGCACGGCCCCACGGAGGAGCCTCCCCAAATAAACCCAAGGGCTGCTGGTGCAGCAAGTCCTGAAGCCAGAGCAAGGCCTGCAGGGCATTACCATAATTAAGAGGCTGTTCCAGGAAGGTGGCCCCTTGGAGAGCCACCTCAAGCAGGGGCTGGCGCACAGCAGGATAAATCCTGGCTCAGGAGACACTGGCTCCTTTACCGAGGAGCTGGGGAGAGGGCGGCAATGTCTGGGCTGGGTGGGCTGAGGCCCTTCTTCCTGCCCCTTGCAGAGAGGAGCACGGATGGTGGTGGCTGGCCGCTGGGCTCCAGCTGTCTCCAGTGCGGAGCCCCCTCATGTGGCGCAGCTTACCCCTCCCTGACTGACATTAGCCGGCCTGCAGAGGCCCTCTTCCTCCGCCACAGCTGTCCTTACATTGGGTTTTGCTGGCCTAGCTGTGTTGCTGAGAGGGAGGGGGGCAGGGGTGGTTCTTCACTCCCTGACCAACGTAGCTTTCAGTGTAGCCCAAGCCTCAGGGAGCACCCAGGCAGGGAGGGCCAGCCAGTGAGAGCCAGGCTCACAAGGACAAGGTCAAAGCGGGCCCACATGCAGAGGGCAGGGAGGGTTGGATCTGCAATCCCCTGCGAGGATAAAGGCTGGCTGGCTCAGGCTTGGTGTCTGAGGGGGTGGTTCTGGGGTTCTGGTTTGGATCAATGGCACAAGGGGGCTGAGCGGGCAAATCCAGTCCTCCACCCAGGCACCATTTGACATCTCCAGGTCCAGCCCAGCCCCAAGAAGGGCAGGCTGGGGTACCTTTAGCATCCAGCGCCCTACAGCCAGACCCTGGACCAGCCTGAGCTCACCGACGCCTGGAGTCGCTGCATGCCAGGCAGCGCCCCCGTCTCTGCCCTGATGTCACAGGGATCAGGGTACGGCCCCGAGCTCCTGCAATTCCCCTTACAGCTTGGCACTGCCCTGGGGACCGGAAGCCAGGGGAACCCTGAGCATTACAAGGGGGAGGCTCACTGTGGCCAGAGCGCGCACTCAGCCGGCTGGGCTCAAAGCAGCGCAGCCTCCCTAGGGGAAAACCAGGCCCATCCAGCTCGAAGGAGCAGATGGAGTGGCCCTGGGTGTCCGGAAGGCCATGCTCTGGGGCCATTCTGATCCCAGGGCCATGGTTGGAGCTCAGAGAAAGAATTACTGGGATTTTCAAAGCTCTTGACTCAGGTCCTGCCTCGGCCACTGGGAAGGAGGCTGAAAGGCTAGGGAGCTCTGCACTAGGATCAGGGCTAGTTAATACGGCCAGTGAAGTTCAGGAGCATGGCAGCGTGGCTTTGAATTCCACTGGGGAGGCCAAATTGGGCAAAACTCCAGATGGGTTTGAGCCCCCTGGGGGACCCAGACAGCATGGTGATGCCCAGAGAGGAGGAGCAGTGTAGACGCTGCCAGAAACAGTCCACTCTTCTGCAGTTCTCCCCAGGCATGGGGAGCTGAGTGAGATGTAAGCAAGGGCAGGCCGGGGGCAGGAGGAGCTCTCCTCCTGGGCCTGTCTCAGGAGTTTTATTCTCGATGACAATGCAAAGAAACCAACTTCGCTCTAGATCCTGCTGCAACATGGGCTGGCCCAGGATTCACTGGAAAGCCCTAAGCCCCCTGGCTTCCAGGGCCCCAGCTCCCCCAGCAGAGCACAGCCCAGGACTCCTGCACTTTAAGAAGCCAGCACCAGACCCCACCTGTGCCTGGGGCCCCTCCATTCTCAGAGGAGCTGGCCACACACGCCTTTGGGACCCAGGGAGCACAGCCCTCTCAGTGCTGTTCCTTGGCTTCGCACTAGGGCCAGGTTGGGTACCACGCTCCCCGCTCAGTTATGCAGGGCGGGGTGGGAATGACCTGCTGCAATAGAGAGGACGGAGGTGGGCTTGACCTTCCTACTTGGAGGAGAACGGGGGGCGGCCGCTGCTGGCTTTGCCCTGGAAGTGGCTTATTGTCAGTTACAGATACAGTGCATCAGGTGTCTTGGAACTTTTACCCCTCATGGCCTCCTGAGTACCTAAGTCAGGCCCTGGCAGACTCCCACACTGGCCTGGCAGAACAGGAGGGTCCTCCCCCAGCCCACGCGGCGCTCACAGGGCCTGAGCACCCCAGGAGGTCTGGGGTCCCCCACTCTCAGCCAGGGGGCAGGGAGAGCTCAGCGCCACACAGAATGGGGCCCTCGTGTTGGCAGCGGAGACTTACTCAGCACTTGGGAGGGGCTGGAGGGGGACACAGGGATTTTGGCAAGTGGAAGCAGTGTCTGTGGACAGGTGGGCAGCTGTGCACAGGCCTGAGGAGAGGGGATGCCTACTGCATAGAGACCACATAGAGCCTCATACTGTGTAGAGACCGTCAGAGTGCACCTGTATAGAGCCACATGCTGTATAAAGACCATCTACAGGGCCCACTGTAGATTCATACTGTATAGACACTGTATAGAGTGCACTGTATTGACCCTCATATTGTATAGTGCCCATAATGAGCCCATACTGTATTGAGCCTCATATCGTATAGAGCCCACATTGTATAGCAGGGGCGTAGCCACGAGTGGGCCTGGGAGGGCCGTGGCCCACCCACTTAGCATCCTGCCCCCCAGCTCTGCTCCGGCCCTAGCTTGCCCCACCTTGCCTGCCCGCCCAGCACGCCAGCCGCGGAGTGGGGTCGGGGCAGGGGGCTTGCCCTGCTCCACCTGCCCGGTGCTCCTGTGGGCAGCGAGGGGCTTTCTCCGCTTCGCCCAGCACTCCAGCCAGGGAGCACTGTCAGGGGTTTACCCCACTCTGCCCACCCGGCGCTCCAGCTGGGGAGCAGAGTCAGGCTCTTGCCCAGCTCCATCCTCCCGCCCAGTGCTCCAACCGGGAATGGGGTCGGGGCGTGGGGGTCAGGCTCTTGCCCTGCTCCGTCTGACGCTGCAGCTGGGGAGTGGGGTCGGGGAAAGCCCCAGTGTCCTGCTCCCACTCCCCAGCTGGAGCAGCAGGCGGGCAGAGCGGGGCAAGCCCCCACACCCCAATCCCGCTCCCCAGCAGTGGAGCCTGTTTTTCTGGGGCCCTCCAATTGGCTGGGGCCCCGGACATGCCCCTTTGGCCCAGTGTTTAATCCGCCACTAGGAGGGTGAGCTTCAGGTGACCCAGTGGAGGCAGAGGAGTCCTCAAAAAAGGTAGGTCTGCTCCTTGGGAGGCCAGGCCTGAGGTGGGGCGTGGGTCAGGGACAGGAGCCGTTGCCGCCGGACAGCGGAGTCTCCTCCCAGAGCTGAGTGCGTGCCTGGGGCCCCAGAGCATCCACAGACCCCAGCAAGGCCGGCTAGAGAGGGTAGGTGGGCCCTGATTCCTCCTCCTCCTCCCTCCACCCAGTCATTGCCACCCACCCAAAGTCGGAGCCCACCCAAATGTCCCATCCTGGCTCCGCCACTGCTGTGTAGAGCCTCATGCTGCACAGAGACCGTGTAGCATGCAGGCTGCTCTGAGACTCATCCCATACAGAGCCCAGATGGGGGGCTCACTGTATAGAGACTCATACCATATAACATGCTATACAGAGACTCAAACACACTGGGCCAAATTTTCAAATGAGAGACACAAATGTGTCTGCACAATCCAAAGCCCCTAGTATGCTCCCAAGCCCCATCTGCACTTACCCCAATGTGCCAAGACATGGCTCTGAGTCCCCTTCCACGTACAATAATGCAGCCATGCAGACAAATGGGAACCGTTGTGCTAGGACACTGGGCCTACTTGCAGAGGCCAGGTTGAAAACATGCCCCTTCCTGGCTGTCTCCAGAATTAAACAAGACGGCGATGGGAGGGGGGAGAAGAACTGTCCACTTGGGAGCAGCTATGGGCAAGTTTGGTGTCTAGGCAGAGGGATGGAGTGGGCATGGCAGGGAGCTTAAAATGATTGATCTGGCCACACTTGCTTAGAGGTAGCCATGTTGTCTAGTGGTCAGATTTAGGGAGTAGGAACAGGCAGGGCCGCGGGTTCTATGCTGAGCTGTTGTTCGGACAGCTGCAGGCCAGTCACTTATTGCCTGTGCCTTGGCCAAGCCCAGCTGGGAATCAGGTTAAAGGAAGAGAAGGCAGTAAAAGAACCTCACTGAGAGAGTGGCACTGGAGTTACCCTCCACGTAGCAGCCCTCTCCTCATGGCAAATCTCATATGACAGGGCCAGCCCCACCCCTCTATCCCCACCAAGACCAACCAGAATCTAGGGAGCTCAGCAGCTCCTGCCCTGACTAGCCAGTGGCCACAGAGGCAGGTGGCCTGAGCCCCATGGAGTCCATGGATCTGTTGCTGCCCCGTTAGGAGAGCATCTTTCCCAGGCCTCCCCGGGATCCACGCGCCAACAGTTATCTGCTAGAAATGATGGGAAGATTCTGACCGACCAGTTTAGTGCGTCAATAGTAAAATACCTGTCTACAAAGGGGAATAAAGAGGAGGCCCGTGTGGCGCGGCAGCACTGGTCACATGAGGTCGTCCAGGAGGTTGGGGCTGGCGACCCAGTCCAGGGTCCGTGGCTCAGAGGCGGCCATGATCATACACATGAACTGCTTTCCGGTCCGCCTGTCAGTGGGGTAGATGGTGGTGGGCGTGAACCTCTTGTTACTCTCCACGAAGTCGCACAGCTGCTCGTAGATCTTGGGGAACTCATGGCGCAGGAAGACGCCTCGGATCCGCAGCTCCCGCTGGATGTTGATGAAGCAGACCTCCCGGGCCTTCCGCCCTTCCTCCCCCTCCTTGTCGATGTCCGCCGTACCCGGCGGGGGGGTCAGGATCAAGGTCTCCATGTCCCGCTCCTTCTTCAAGATCTGCTTCTCGGGGCTGGAGGAGGCTAAGGCCACCTTGGCGTATTTCCTGACGGTCGGCACCTGGACCTTGGGGGATGGCCTCACAGGCACTTTTTGTCCAACAGCCACTGTTACATTCAAGAGGAAACATTCCTCAGGGTCATACTGGATGCCAGCCACCCCCAACTCCCGGGCATAATCCCCCAGGCTCTCTGCGTAGCCCTCCAGCTCCCGCAGGGACAGGTAGGTGGGGGACATCAGCAGGCTCTCCAAGCCAAACTGGAGGAAGTTCTCAGCTGAGCCTGAGCTGGGGAAGCCCAGGAACAGCACCCCTCGCCCCCGGGACAGGTACCCCACCTTGGCAATGCGCGAGAAGGCCTTGTGCACCTCGGCATTCTCCCGGCAGAACTGCAGAGCGTGCCGGCAGATGCTCCCGATACGCCCGTAGACACAGCTCTCCTTGTGGATGTCCCAGTCCTCGCGGCGGCAGCTCCGGGAGCAGTAGTAAGTATAGCAGCTGTGGCAGGACTTGAAGTAGAGGCAGGCGTTGAACATGGTCTCCGTGCGCCTGCACTTGGCGTTCGAGCACATCATCATGTCGTCCTCATCCGCGCTCAGCTCTGGGGAGCAGTCATCCTGCTGCTTCTCAAAGCTGCTGCTGGAGACAGACATGGCAAGTGAGCGGCCACCCTGCTCCTTGCGTACGTCTCTGTGGAAGGAACTCGGGCCCGGCTGCTCCTTGGTGGGCCTGGGCTCCCCCACCAATAAAGGCAGCGGCTTCCTGGCCTCCAGCTTCCTGGCGGGCCCGGGCGCCCCGTTGTCGATCAGCCTCTTGAGCTGGTCTGTCAGGCTGTCCCCGTTGCTGGGGCGGCGGTTGGGAGGGGGCTTGGAATCGATGACCAGGTCTGTGATCAGCTCATCCAGCTGCTCCAGGCTGCGCTGGCGGGCGGAGCTGCTTTGGGTGCTCTCTTTGGCAATGGGATCCGAGTAGCAGTGTGTGGTGCGGGAGCGATGCCCATCCCGCCCGGAATCCAGCACATCCCAGCTGGCCGAGCGCTTCTCGGTCTTGCTCAGACCATTGGCTTTGATGTCATTGTCGGTGATGGTGATTTCTGGGGTGACAAACCAGGAGCGGCCCAAGGGGCACCGCCCACCGTCTGCCTGCATCTTCTCCATGATGGAGTTCTCCGAGAGGGAGAGCGCTGCATAGCGCTTGGGGGAACTGGAGAGGTTGATAACCACGGGCTGCCGCCGGTCATCAGGGGATAAGGCACGGTGCTGCTCCCGGGCGAGCAGGTTCTCATAGCTGCGCCCGCGGAACATGGGGTCCTCCCTGCGGACACTGGGTGCCAGGATGTTGTCCCAGGATTTGGAGTAATGCCGGGTGTCTGTGCCTAGGCGGGGTTGGTTGGTGCTGTAGCTGGCATGCCAAGAGGAAAGCAAAGCCTCCTGCCCAGAGGGATGAGGTGCAAAGCGGGACATCTGCAAAGTCTGGTAGGGCAGTGCACCCCGGTCTGGGCAGTACCAGTCGCTGAACTGCAAAGGCTGGGTGCTACGGGCATGAGGGTACGTCCGTGAAATGGATTCTCTCTCATGGTATTTGCCATAATCCTCAGTGTAGAACAACCGGGAGGAGGTGTTCAGAGCGGGGTATACCCTGGGGTCCTCTGTATAGAGGGGTTTGGTGGGCATGCCCCTTGAGGCATAGAATTGAGGGTCTTCTCTGTAGAAGGTGTGGGTAGGGGCTTCCTGGATGGGGTAGGTCCGAGCTTCTTCCACGTAGAAAGTCCTGGGTGGGATGGTGTGGATATTACCTTTGGCTGGGTCCTCTGTGTAGAAGGGCTGTGGAGGGAGGTGACGCCCTGGGTATGGGCGAGGGCACCCCTCGTAGCCAGAGCTTTTCAGTGGAATGCCAGGGCCAGGGCACCCAGCTGGCTCCTCTGTGTAGAAGAACTTGGTGGGCACATTTGGAGCGGAGAAGGTCATACAGCCCCTCTCAGGATAGTCCTGCGGGCAGGGCATGGCCTGGTAAACCCGGCCTCGGGGGTCACCTTCGTAGTACTCGTTGGAGTAGGGCAGCCTGTGCTCCCCGCTGTAGGAGTCGCTGGGTGTGGGAGTGCGGGACACAGACACCTGCCTGCTGCTTGGGATGGTCAGGCTCCGGATAGCGCAGGGCAGCCTGGTCCAGTACGGCACCTCCCTCCTGCTCTGGGCCTTCAGGCTGCGTGCCGCGTGCACCAGCACTGCCTCGTCTGGCTTCATGTCCATCCGGCACTTGACATGCAGGCTTGTGGCCGGCCTCCCACCTGGGGCCTCCTCCGGGCAGTTGCTGCTAACACACAGTGGGGAGATGCGGCTGGTGCTGCTCCGCTGGGGCTGCAGCTTGATGGGGTGCACCTCGTTCATTGGGGCCTTCATCGGCGCGTATCCGCTCCCCCTGCACGGGGACATCTCTGTCCTCGCAGGCTCCCTGGAGAGGCGCAGAGCCTCCCGTCCCCGCCTGGCCGGCACAGGGGGAGACGAGGACGACATCTGGATGGGAATGGGAGTGAAGGTGGATTTCACCCGTGGGGCGCTCTTGGACCTCGCTCGCCTCTTTGGCTCCGCCCGAGCCAATGGCTCCTTGGGGCCTTCCCTCCCGTGAGGGGGAGGCCTGCTGTTCTGAACGTCCGACCTGGGAGGAGCCTTCTTGCCTCCGGAGCCTGAGGAAGGCTCGGGGGTGCCCGGGTGCCGGCAGGGGCGCTCCATAGCAGGAGCAGGGGCCAGCTGGTCGTCGAGCGGCTCAAGGAAGTCAAAGCTCCTACAGTGGCGCTTGTTGAAGGGCTGCAGGTCACGCGGCAGAGATCCAGACATGAAGGTGTCACATTGTGCCAGTGGCTGGCAGATGATGGAATCCCTGGGTGCTGGGCACGTCACCTCTAGGTCTTGATACACCGTAGACACCAGTATGTCAGGTGGGTCGGTTCGTGTCATCTTAAACAAGCTCTTCCTTCTCCAGCTCCTCTTCAGATCATCTCAGGGGAAGCCAGCCAGCCCTGCAACGGGAGAAAGAAGGGGCCTTGAGTCTCATGCCGGAGAGGCCCGCTCAAGACAGGCTATTTTTGAAAGCTCCTGATTTTTAGCCAATCTCATGATTTTGGGGGCTTGACTCATGATCCCACAATGCTCGGGACTGGCAATGCTGGGGGGTCTAGTAGGCACATGTGCAAAAGGGTCCGTGCTGGGGTAAGAACTGGAGCTGGCCGAATGGTGCAGAGACAGTGATGAGGAATTCCAAACGGCCACGGCCTGGTTCAGAATTGGTGAGAACAAGGCTTATTCACATGAATGTTTTGGGGGAGGCTGTTCCTCTAGGAGTGCCCAGTCTGCTCATGACCAAGGGCATGCAGTGCTCAGATACTGCAGTGCCAGAGGCCAGGGCCATGCCAGAGATACCATGAGCATGCATGGCCCTGGATTTACAGAGAGGGTCGAAAATCTGAATTTTCATTCTGCAGGAAACTTCAATATTCCCACATTTGTTTCATTCTGAATCAGGCCACAACAAAGTTGATGTGTCAAATTTTTTTGCCAAATGGAAAGTTTTGATTCAGAAATGTTGCCACATTTTGTTTCAGCTTAATTTGACCTTAATCTTTGTCTATCTGAGGTGTCACAATGCCTCATGCTTCCATCCTCCTCTACTGGCTGAAATCCTTGACTGGACTACACCTCCCATGATGCACCATGGTTATGTGACTCCCATGATGCACCACAGCAGTTCAATCAGAGGGAGGCTATGATGCATCATGGGTGATGTACTCCAGCCAGAAAGCTTAACCCACAGAGAAGGGGGGGGTGGCAGGCACGAGACACCACAAAGGCTCTGGTGGACACAGATTAACATCAAACTGATCCAAAAGGAATTATTTTATTTTGATTTTTCTGAAGGCAAATTGGAAAGTTTCAGCAAAATTGAGATTTTCTTGTCAAAAATGTCAATATTTCAAGAAGTGCAGTTTTCATAAGAAAGAAAGAAAGAATGAAAGAAAATTCCCAGCCAGGTGAATTTATCAGTGCCCGTTCATTCCCTGCTGCCCACCCACCAGGAGGAAGTTGATAACAGGACACACAGAGCAAAGAGAATCTTGAGAGGACAGAGAGGCCATGTCCTGGTTGCTCCCTCTCTGGGTTCCGGCCAGCCTGCTTTGAGCCCAATCCTCCTCTTGTTTGTACTGCAGAGTGGCATGGACCGCAGTGGAATTACTCCTGATTTACACCCGTCCGAGGCCCAGCTGGACAAGCCTTGTGTTGATCTGATTGCACCCATGGGCTCAGGGGGCAGGGAGTGGATCTTGTGCCCTATACAGCGCCAAGCCCTTCATGTACAAGTGCAGCAATTCCTTCTCCTTTTTGTAAGTCTCGGTCGCCCAGTGAGGAAGCAAACACAGCACCATGTGACTTACGCAACCAGTGGTACATCACAGATAGACAGTGGCGAGTAGGCAGACAACCCCAACCAGCGGAGCAGAGGGCAGGGATTTGTTAAATCAGCTCGCCAAAAGAAAAGGGCAAATTCCACACATCGTGTCTCTGCAACCAGTAACCTGACCAGCTCTACACAGACCCACACTGGCACGCGCAAACCAGCACCTGCGTGCATGGGATAAATAACGACATGAGAGAATGACTGGCTGTATGGGGGGTGGGCATGGCTAATTACCTGCCTAGCATATGTATATGCAAATATAGGATGCTTGCAATGAAGCAGTGTCAGAGAGCTCAGCTCTGGGGGACACCCCCCCACAAGGTCTAAGCTCTCTGCCTAGGGCCTGTCAAAGCTATGCTATGCTGCTCGGGATGCAGGGCGGGAGGTGCAGTCAGAAGTCCCTCCCATTTGGTCTGAGCTTCGCGAGATCTGTCTGGTGGCACTAAGCAGCACAGACTGTGTTCGTCTGGAAGCTAAAGAGACAGAGAGACCCACAGGGACTGGCTGTGTCCAGCAGCCTCAATCAAGAATCACCTTTATGGTCCTTGTGTAACCCACACACCTTCTGGGTGTGGGGTTCTGCCCCATCTAGTGGCACCAAGACCACTTAGAAAGAGAGCGAGTTAAATGAGACGCTCTATAGCCTTAGCTAACAGCCAGCTGGCTTTTAGCTCATGTGGTAGAGGCTCATGCACTAAGCTCCAGAGGTCCCCAGTTCAATCCCACTCGCCGATGACCGGGGTCTGTTGGCCTTACACTTGCAGCCCTGTCCTACCTCTCCCAAGAATCACCCCCCAAGGGCTGACAAGATGGCCTCTGCAGGGCGATCTGTACACAACATGGTTGAGGGATGTCCCAAATTTGTCTTACATACCTCACTTAAAAACTATTTGCTTACAAAATCAGACACAAAAAAGGGGCCACAGCACACTATTACTGAAAAATTGCTGACTTTCTCATTTTACCACATAATTTTAATGACTTTCTCATTTTACCACATACTTACATTTCAGTGTATTGTATTTAGAGCAGTATAAACAAGTCATTGTCTGTATGAAATTTTAATTTTACTAACTTCACTAGTCCTTTTATGTAGCCTGTTGTAAAACTAGACAAATCTCTAGATGAGTTGATGTACCCCTGGAAGACCTCTGAGTACCTTCGGGGGTACACATACCCCTGATTGAGAACCACTGTCCCAGACACCATGTGCATAGAAACCTTCCATTACAATGGAGGTCCCTGAACCAGACAGGATGAGAGCTTGGCACTCACTCACAAGAGTTTTATTTCCGCACTGTTGTTTTTGGCAGGGATATCACTGGACTCAAACGCTCTCCTGCTAGAGTTCTCTCCTGCCACGGGGAATCTCTCTCCACACATCCCTGGGGCCAGATTTTAAGACTCAGGAGCCTGAATGGGGAATGCATGTGCAAATATGTGGTTATGTGTGCAAAACAGGGGTGCAGGACTGCAGATTTTGCTCAAGCAGTCACCTGCTTTGCACACCCAGCTGTGCAGTTTGCACACACAGTTACATGCCTGCGTCCATGTGTTTTGCATGAATGGCAGCATTTCTACATGTGCAGACACCCTCTGGGCCTGTGCACACAGCATGGCTCAAGGGTGGCAGTGGTACTTTGCACACAGTGTCTAAACTCTTGTCCCTGAGGATGCACTAGGGCTTCTAGGAAATCAGCAGGGGTCCCAATGCAGCTGGGAGCTCTGCTCCCTCTGGGGAGCAGGGTCACACGCACCATACACTGGTATACTGTGGGCATATGCTTTGCTCTCGTGACTGGCCCCTGCAACTACTGCCCACAGCCTGCCCCTTACAGCTAGCTCTCGCTCAGCTCACGGGTCAGAGGCTGGTGCTTTGGATGCTGAAGGGCTCAGGTTTGACCCCATTGCAGACGGTGGTGCTGTGGGCAGATGGCCATGGTTTGTAACACCAGACCAGTGGGAGGGGCAGAGGCAGGAAGCCAACTTATGTTAGACTCCAGAGAACATATCTGGTCTGAAGCCATGGTGAAGGTTTAAACCATACGTTCAGTCCTGCCCTCCCCATTATTATGTGGGGGGGGCAGGAAGGTCTGGGACCAGGGGGACTAAAGAAATCAAAACTCGCCTCGGATGCCTGAGGCTGGGAAGGTTTCTGGAGCAGGAAGTGAGTTTGGGACAGCATTTTTGTTCCTACCTGGTCTGATGCCAGTGGTGTGTATTTGGATGGGCAAAGCTGGCACAGGCTGCTGTGTCAGCTCCATGCTGGGATCCGTTCTGGGGCTGGAACATAAAACACATCAAATGAATCCAGGAAGTTACTGCTCGGCCTCCTGAGGGCAGGAGCTGGGCCTTCCGTGCGCCGCCCTGCTGAGCCCAGCACCAGCCCCCTTCAGCCCTGGGGTCCCTCCTCTGCGCGGGTCCACACAGCATCTCCCTGGGGAGCTCCGCACAGACACAGTGAGGTCTTGTGGTACTTTACACCCCTGGGCGGAGAGAGGACCAAGCAGGTCAAAGTGACATGGCCACGGTCCTGCCAGGAGTCAGAGCCTCTGCTCCAGAGGCCTGGGAAAGTGGTGAGAGCATGTCCCCCTCTCGGGGCCACAGCCAGCATAGAAGATATCAGCCTACTACTTGGTCACCGTGAGAGGAATTTCCCCAGCCTCTGAAGGGGCAGCGGCTTGTGCCTTTGGTGTTGGAAAGCCCAGGTTCTTATCCCGGCTAGCGTCTCATGGTGGGTTGTCAAAGACCTTTCCAGATGGGGGCAAATCACTACAGCATGGCTTCCCTGGGGTGGGGTCAGAGCTGAGGCTAGACACTGGACACCCCCTTCTTCCTTTCCCAGGGAGTGAATTAAGATACTGGCCCTCTCCTCCCATCTCTGGGCTGTGACTGGCTTCAATAGATCTGCTGTTTGCACCCCTTTGCCCTTCCTGCCATATCTATGCTAGATCTCTCCGTGGTGACTAGTGCTTCATTTGTGATGAAAGAGAAGCCAGCCCAGAGGGGCCAGGGCTCTGAACTGCCAGGCCTCGGCACAAATTAAGACTGGTGGTGACGCTGCTGAGGAAAATAGTTCCCATTGACAAAAATCTTTCCTTCTTGCACCTCCCAGATTGCTTTGCAAACTATACCTATATACCTTTGCAAACTATATCAGCTGTCATGTCAGCCAGCACTAGCAGGCAGCCACCTCTGGGGCAGAACACCAGAGCTGTTTCCCACCTGTGCTATGGTGCATTCTAAGCAGTTGTCAAACTGGAAGTGCAGGGGAACTTTATGAAGAGGGCAGCTAAGTGAGCTGGAATTTGGAAGATTGCTGGGAGAAGTGCCAGAAGGAGTTTTCTGGTGACCGGTCCTTGATCTTATGAAAGACAGCATCTCCCTGAGGGGAATGCCAGCGACAGAATCACCATCATCTCACGTGAGCTTTCCCTGGAAGTCTAACACACGCTAACAAGGTTGACTCTGCCTAGTGAGGAGAATTGGTCGGTGGCTAGTTGTGGAGACTAGCACTTGCCCTCATACAACACACCTGAGAGAGGGCTGATGAGTGGCGGAGTCAGGGCACATGGCACAGCCCCTCAGCACCCCAGGCCAGCGAGTGCCCCTGACTCAGCCCCTGCCCGCTGTCTCCAGGTACGGGTGCCAAAGGCCCCTGCAGATCACCCCGCTTGCTCAGCCCCGGGGCTTGGATGGAGTTAAGAGCAACCCTCCCCCACGCAGCAGCACCTCTGCTGTGATGCCCTGAAACCCCCGGCCCTGAGCTCCCTTGCCCAGGGGCTGAGCAGCGCGAGACTGAAACCCAGCTGCCTGGTGAAGGCCAGTGAGCGGCACCCAGCCCAGCTGGGGCCTGGGGTCCTCTGGGGAGCAGGTGCTGAGCTCATGGTGCTGGCATCCCCGCGGGAGCACACAGTTGCCATGGTTTCGCTGCGCTATGTCTCTCCGGAGGAGCAGTGTGTGCGGGGGAGAGCCGGGGCACTGCGAGGGGAGGTTAATGTTGCTCACAAGTGCCGCATTGATGTGGGGGGAGGCAGAGCTGGATTAACTCTCCTGTGGGCCCAGGGCTAGTAGATTTTGGGGGGCCCCTGTATATGTCTTTTTCCTAATTTAAAACAAAATTATCACAATTATGGCATTGAGGCTATTAACGCTATACTTAAAGTTGACTTTTAATTGTCATAAAGATGTTCTGCGGTTATATTTCAGCCTTAAAACATGTAGAATATAGTTAATTCAAATAGCCTACTGCTTACCTTAGAACAGCTGTTATATTAGTTTCTTTCTGGGAGGGAGGTTGGGTGCAGGAGGGGGCTCCAGCCTGGGGCAGAGTGCTGGGGTGCAGGAGGGGATTCTGACCTGGGGCAGGGGGTTGGGGTGCAGGAGGGGGTTTGAGGTGCAGGCTCCGGCTGGCGGCACAGCAGGGCTCAGGCAGGCTGCCTGCCTGCCGTGGCCCCACACTGCTCACAGAAGCGGATGGCTGCTGGCACGTCTCTGTGCGCCCCTGGGGGCAGGGGGACAGTGTGTCTCCGTGTGCTGCCCACACCCTCAAACGCCGCCCCCACAGCTCCCATTGGCAGTTTCTGGCCAATGGGAGCTGCGGGGACGGTGCTGGGGGTGGGGGCAGCGCACGGAGCTGCCTTCTCTCCGCCCCCACCTCCCTTCAGGGGCTGCAGAGGCATGCCAACAGCCGGCTGCTTCCGGGAGCGGTATGGGGCCATGGCAGGCAGGCAGCCTACCTGAGCCCTGTTGCGCCAGGGCTCCCCTTAGCCCAGGGCTGCAGCCCCTAAAGCCCCTGCGTCAATCTGGCCCTGGAAGGAGCCTCTGTATTCACTGAGCAATGGGGATGGCATGGGCAGGGCCACAGGTGTGCCCCCCACGCAAGCAGCAGCTCATACCACTGCCCCGGGGGACAGGACTGGGAGCTGTGCTAAACCTGCCCATGGTTTGGGGCTTAGGTTGGGCAGATGCCTGAGTGCTGGACTGGGATCTGCTGACCCAGGGCACCAGGCCCCTGAACAGAATTTCTCTCACCAGCCTGCCCGGGCAGTGGGCACTGGTAGGGGCAGGCTCTGTGGCTCATCCCCAAGCCTGCCAGGCCCCATGGGAATGATTGATAAACTCAGCTGCTCAGCGAGGTCACAGGTGTGGTGCCAGGCCCAGTCCACCCTGGGTGCCCATGTGGGAGAAGAGGGATGGTTATTATGCCCTCACCATACAGAGGCCAGCAGGGAACTTTCCCTGCCATGGCCAGGAGCTCGAGTGACTCTGAGTCTGGCTGGCAAAGGCTTGGCTGCGATTGCTATGAGCAATCAGCAACAGCTTGACACTTCCCATCTTGAGTGGGGGGTGCAGGCAAAGGGAAGCACAGATGCCAGCTGGGGCACTCTGAACCTGCCATCCTGCAGCCCGGTGCGTCGCTAACCCCATTGCACAGGGGGAGGGGCGCACTGTGCTCAAAGCTGCTCAGAACAAAACACGGGCACCTGGCTCAGAGCCTCCTCCAGCAGCCCAAAGGGCTCCCTGGTGCCAGAAATGGCCCCCAGCACCCCAAAGGCTCCCACCAGCTCCCTCCTGCCTTCTAGGCCAGACAAAAACCTGAAACATTTATTCCTACCCTGCATCTTTGTAGAAAGCCCCTGGCAGCAGGGTGACCCCAGCCCGGGAGGGAAAGAGTTCCAGGGCAGGGGTGGCACGGCTTCCCCTGGCAGCACCTGGGCTGTGGAGAAGGGCCTGGCTCAGAGTGAGCTTGAGCAGCAGGAGGTAGGAGTGACAGGGGACTGTGGGAGGGCATGAGAGGGAGAACGAGAGTGGGGGGGCGTGGGGGGAAGCCACATGGGTGTCACTGGGAGCTGGTCGTGAGCTTCAGAGGGTGTGGAAGTGTGAAGGGGAAAAGAGGGTTTGTGTGCAGTCATGTCGTTTGGTTCAGAGACAGAGCAAGAGACAAGCTGACTCCAACCTTAGTAACGCGAGATTTGTAGCGAGGCGGATGGGAAAATCACTAGGGACCTTGCTTTAAGATAAGACTGGAATGCAGTGCTGACTACGACAATGGGAAGAAAATGTAAAATAGGACACAGCTGTTATTGTGTCTGTGTGTGTAATGAATGTGTAAATACTCGACTGAAAATGCTTGTACCTTGGAGATTACCTGAGGGCAGGGGAAACTCTGCCCGACTGTGGTCTCCACCTGCAATTGCTTGAGAATAAATTGTCTCTGACCTGTTGCTAACAAACTCAGCGGGAAGACTGTGTTTTCTTCCACAACGGGTATCACTTCAGCACAGGCTACACCCCACAATACTGGCCCCCAACCTGCCTCAGACCTGCCCATTCCCCCGCACCCCCAGCAAAACCCTCAACCTGCCCCCAACCTGCCAACCCCCCCCGAACCCGCAGCACAACCCCCAACCTGCCAACCCCCCAGCACCTTACAGCACAACCCCCAACCTGCACCCGACCTGCCCCCAACCTGCCAACCCCCCCCACACCCCACAGCACAACCCCCAACCTGACCCCAACCTGCCAACCCCCCCGCACCCGCAGCACAACCCCCAACCTGCCAACCCTCCAGCACCTCACAGCACAACCCCCAACCTGCTCCCGACCTGCCCCCAACCTGCCAACCCCCCACACCCCACAGTACAACCCCCAACCTGCCCCCAACCTGCCAACCCCCCCGCACCTCACAGCACAACCCCCAACCTGCCCCCGACCTGCCCACCCCCCAGCACAACCCCCAACCTGCCCACCCCCCAGCACCTCACAGCACAACCCCCAACCTGCCCCCAACCTGCCAACCCCCCCAGCACCTCACAGCACAACCCCCAACCTGCGCCCAACCTGCCAACCCCCCCCGCACCTCACAGCAGAACCCCCAACCTGCCCCCAACCTGCCAATCCCCCCCCGCACCTCACAGCACAACCCCCAACCTGCCCCCAACCTGCCAACCCCCCCGCACCTCACAGCACAACCCCCAACCTGCCCCCAACCTGCCAACCCCCCCCCCGCACCTCACACCACAACCCCCAACCTGCCCCCAACCTGCCAACCCCCCCCGCACCTCACACCACAACCCCCAACCTGCCCCCAACCTGCCAACCCCCCCGCACCTCACAGCACAACCCCCAACCTGCCCCCAACCTGCCAACCCCCCCCGCACCTCACAGCACAACCCCCAACCTGCCCCCAACCTGCCAATCCCCCCGCACCTCACAGCACAACCCCCAACCTGCCCCCAACCTGCCAACCCCCCCCTGCACCTCACAGCACAACCCCCAAC